TTGGGTAGCAGGATTGGCCCCCAATCCCTTGCCTGATGCATGTTTCTAGGAACAAGCAAAATATAAATGTTTTCTGTTTTGCTTTATGAATGTTCTGTTGCGTTCCTTGTGTGATGTTGAGTGTTTATATGTGTTTAATTTCAAAATTAGATAAGTTTTGATATGAATTAGAGTGTTCTATGGGTTCCTGTGCGAAACCCTTTGGGGAACAATTATAAGTATGACTATGTGAAATGTGAACAAATGACATGAGACAAGATGTGAATGACACGCTATTGTGAACACTATGACTATGAGAATGTGAAACGTGATGAAATGAGATAAGCTATGATTATGAGAAATGTGAAATGTGAAAAGTGAATATGAGACATGAGACATGATGATATGTGACAATGAGACAGGTTATATGAGAAACTATGACAAGTGAAATGATGAGTCAATGAAGTATGATTGTGTGACATCACTAGTGGAAAATTAGCATATTACGTCACCTCTTTTACGTCAGAAATACTTAAATCTGACGTAAAAAAAACGCGGTGACATTTTTGTAATTTTTGCAAACTTTTTTACGTCGGACCTGGTAAGGTCCAATGTAAAAAGTCCAATCTACGTCGGAGGTGTGTTGTGTCCGACGTAGATTGGACTTTTTACATCGGACCCTACCAGGTCTGACGTAAAAAAGGACGCAAATTTGAATAAGAGAGCGCGAGGCACACCGCGCGCATTCACTCTTCCTCACTTTTCATTTTTTTCTCTCTAAACCCTCTCCCTCTCCTTTGTTACTGAATCGTTTTTTTTTGTCTTTTGTAGAGGGATGAACCCTTTGTTACTCATTTGCACATTGTTGCTGCTCCTCAGGTATGAATCAAGGTTTCCTTAACACTTTTCTACTTCGCATTGCTACTCTGGCTATCTGTTTTATTTGATTTTTTGGTTGTTCTATTTGTATAGGTAGTGTGCGTTTTCTTTTAAGTTGTTATACGAAGCTGAATGGCTTGTTCTGGAATCAGAACGGCCTATTCTGCAAGCAGAACGGCCCGTCCTACAAGCAGAACGGCCTGTTCTGCTTGGAGAACGGCCCGTTCTGCTGGCATTTTTATGTTTTTTTTAATAATTTTTTTCCTATTTTTTTACGTCGGATGTCGTAATGTCTGACGTAAATTTAAGTCGATTTTGCGAATCTGACGTAAAATTTACGTCTCCCGCTTCTACATCAGTATGTTTTCTGACGTAAAAAGCTGAAAATGTCCGACGTAGTACACCTCTTTTGTACTAGTGCATGCATCATGTGCATCTATGTGATGGGTACGATGTGGAGTACACCATTAGGGAAGGCCCTCCTTGTGTTACAGCTTGGGGGAGTCCTAGGGGATAATGCAGTTTGGATGTCTCGATTTTGCTCGTTTGTGAGCACGAGACGTAACTTGCGTAGCTTCGCTATCCCGACCAAACCCTAGCAGTACATCCTTCTAGTTGAGAGTGTATGGGTAGCTCCCTACATGTACTCCTAGACTATCTTAGGTGTGTTGTTTAGCAACATACTAGTCATATGTGATATGTGATTGACATCACATACATGCATTTATGAGTTGAGTCCATGACATCATTGCATGATAAATGAGTGTGCATGTGATACTAATTGTGTATGTGTATTGTTTACATGTGATTTGTGCTTGTGACTTGTATTATGTTTTTTGTGTGTGAGTGTGTTGTCTAACCTTTATTTCTTCACCTGAACCTGAGTGAGATGTTTCTCACTCCCTTGTTGTTCTATGTGTATTTTATTGTGTTGCAGGTGATCATAAACATGAGGATGTTGGCGATGAGGCTTAGGCTTCAATTGGGCGTGCTTTGATAGGATATGTGACATCGGGGCGTAGTTAGGCTTAGTTTAGGATTTCATTATTGTTATTTTGTTTTGGAAAAAAAAATCATGTTTCATTTTCTTATAAATTCCGCATTTGACCATGATTTAAGTTTACGAATGTGAATTCTCTACTCTTATGTTAGTGGAACCGTTGCTTTAATTCTAAAGATTTTATTTAACCAAAGAATATGTTTTTTATAATTATTATATATGTATGTTGGGGTAGAGAGTGTCACATTTAGTGGTATCAGAGCCAGGTTGATTCAAACCGGACATGTGTGTTATGTGCTTATCATAATTCTGTTGTGTACTCTGATAATGTTTTGCTTGTTGTGTACTCTGACGGTGTTTTGCTTTATGATGATGATGATGATGATTTTTCCCTTGTGTTGTTGGTGTTGTGCTTAATTGTGTATTGTTTTCTCAAAATTTGGCTGATAGACATGATATAGCTTAGATGATGCTATTTATGACTACTCTTCTTCATTCTTATGATTGCTTATTTGTTTGATACTTCTTGCTTACGTAAGAAGTAGTGGTTGGGTGGTATCGCTTGTATTGCAAGCATATGTGCGAGTAGTAGTGGACAAAATATTGTTCTAATCAACTAGAAACTATTGGGACCTTAGATTTGGTTGAGTTATTGATTTGACGAAGGTATTAAGAGCCTATGGTTGATGGAGTTTCCAAAATCTATAGCTGTAGCGATGAAATTCAAAGAGGTTGTATGTCGAAAAGTGGGATTTCAAAATTCTTGATGAGAGGCTGAAGTGTTGGTGATTTATTTAAGTTTTGATGCTTGCCTGTTAACCTTTTTAAGGTTTAGGTTGCATGTGGATTTTCATTCAGTTTTAAGTCTTTTGTGTTGAATGTATGAGTTTCTTGGGTTTAGGATTGCAGTGGGAAGTTTGGATGAGTTTAAGGTGGAAAGGAGTGAGTTTGGAAGGGTAGAGGTATTTTTGTGGGATGTTAGTACATTATTGTTGTCTAGTTTAGGCGATGTTTTCTCTACAATTTTATTGTGCCAGTATGAGTACCATGTTGACAGAATTAGTTTTTGTGGCCTTCCTGAATTAAAGTTGTAGCCTTGGATATTATCTTTCCAATGGAGCTGGAATCATGTAAAACGGAGATCTAGAATTCAAATTATGATTGTTTTAGTGAACAAAAGTCTAGCTCTAAGCGTTGAATATATCTGCTGCGATTTTTGAAATTTTTAACAAAGAAGATAATATTTTTAAAATTAGTAGGATTTTTTTTGACAATTTCTAAAAATCGCCACAAAATATTATAATTCTCACAGTTATTTTAACCACTAAAAAAATAATATATTATCGGTTTTTTAAAATAGCCTGAATCTTTAAATAATTATTTTCGGCTAAATACCTATTTTGGTCCCTTATAATCTTTTTTTGTTTCAATGTAGTCCCACTTTTATTTTTGGTCTCAATTTGGTCCCAAACTAATTAATTGGTTTCAATTTAGTCCCTAATAAATTAATTGATTTCAATGTGGGACTTCCGTCCAAATTTCTTTAACGGAGTTAACTGTTGCATGGGTGGATGTCACGTGGATGCCACGTGGATGCATAGGTGGATGCCACGTAGATGCCATGTGGATGACAATTTTTTGAAAATACCTGGAACCAGAACGGCCCGTTCTGAAACCAGAACGGCCCGTTCTGGTTGCACTTTTGGTGTGACAATTTTGCATCCGGAACGGCCCGTTCCAGGTGCAAAATTAACACACTAAAAGTGCCGTTCTGGTTTCAGAACGGGCCGTTCTGGTTCCAGACTGCTAAACATAAACGATCAATTATTATAGTTCACGGTTGTGAATCATGGAAGGAAAAAAACCCAAGGTACAAAGCATTTCAAACACTGAATTTGGTAATATTGTCAATGGAAATTGATAACTTCAATTGCTAAACAGTTAGGCTATACAATGTATTATTAAGGACAATGCAATGTATCACTAAAGGATGAACCACTTACTACTAAATTGACACTATACAGTAAAGGATGAAATGACACTATATTGTCAATGAAATGACACTATACAGTACATGATGAAACGACATTATTAATTATATTTAATTATGCGGTTATATCTAATATAATAAATATATTAATATTTTTTATATATTTTATTTTATTGTTTAATTATTTTTTATTTTGTGGTAAAATTATCTTCATTTTTAATGAAGAAAAAATTTACTTACTTCAAGAGTAAGTCTTGATAGATTTATTTTATTTAATAATTAATGTTCTATATCAAATTTTTAAGAATTTAATTGTTAAATTAAATTTTTTTTCATGTATAGATCAAATTTATAAAAAATTTTAAAAAATTAAAAATCATATAATACTTCGTTAAATTAATTCAAATTAACATATAAAATATTTTTATTTTAAATGAATGTAAAAATTTAGAGGACACTAAAAGAAAATAAATTAATAATTTTATTATGTTTATCCTATTAATTTTTATCATTTTATTCCTCTAATTTTAAATAAGTTACAAAAAATTATAAAGTGACACTTAAATATTTCTTCAGATAGAAAGAGAAAAAGAAAAAGTTATTACTCTATTTATAAGGCAATTGTATTTTATAAAAATAAGTAATTTTAAAATTTTTACCATAAAAAAATATTTTTCAAAATTATTACATTTTTTAATAAAATTAATAAATAGTATTCTATTATCAGTTTTCTGAAACCAGAACGGTCCGTTCTGGTGTACTCTTGGTATGTAAATTTTGCATTTGGAACGGCCCGTTTCAGATACAAAATTAACACACCAAAAGCGCAACCAGAACGGGCCGTTCTGGTTCCAGGTGTTTTCAAAAAAAATTTCATCCACGTGGCATCCACCTATGCATCTAGGTGGCATTCACGTGACCAATAGTTAACTCCGTTAAAGAAATTTGAATGAAAGTCCCACATTGAAACCAATTAATTTATTTGGAACCAAATTGAAACCGGTTAATTAGTCTGGGACCAAATTGAGACCAAAAATAAAAATGAGACTACATTGAAACAAAAAAAAATAATTATAAGGGACCAAAATAAATATTTAGCCTATATTTTCAGCTTAATTGAAATATTTTTTTTTCTTACTTTTTAAGAGAATAAAAATCATAAACTTATTCTTATGCACACAAGCTTCTCTTTCTCTCAGACTTCTTTCAAAATTCTTCACCGGCACGTTTGAGCTTCACTGTGTCAACTTTCTGACTACGAAAATGTTGGATCTCTGTGACAACTTGGGTCACGTTGTTTACGCCACCTTGTTATTCCAACAACTACGAAACCCCAACGTGTTCTCTTACAATGCAATCATCAGAACCTACACCTATAATCAGAAACATTCCCTAGCAATTGGTATTTTCAACCAAATGCTCACATATGCAACAAAATCAACGTTACCAGACAAGTGACATGTTCACGTTCCCGTTTGGGATAAAATCGTGCGCGGGTCTTCTTTGCCTTCTACTCGGGCAACAAGTTCACGCGCACGTGTGCAAATTTGACACCAAGTCGCATGCAATAACGAATAACGCTCTGATTGATATGTACACAAAGTGTACCGATGTGAGTGGTGCGTACCAAGTGTTTGAGGAAATGACTGAGCTAGATGCGGTTTCTTGGAATAGTTTTATATCGGGGCACGCGAGATTAGGACAAACGAAGAGTGCGAGGGAAGAGTTTGATGAAATGCCTTGTAGGACAATTATGTCTTGAACGACTATGATTAATGGGTATGCTAGAGCAGGATGTTATGTTAATGCTTTGGAGATTTTCCGTGAGATGCAAGTGGTGGGTATTGAGCCTGATGAGATCAGTGTTATATCTGTTCTACCCGCGTGTGCGCAGCTTGGGGCTCTTGAGGTTGCACAGATGGAAGACAATGCTTGTCAATTTGGGTTGTGTAGGAAGATTCGTGGAAGGAAACGTTTCCCGTTGGAACTGAGGTTTGTTCCATTAATTTGTTTTTTTTTTTTTTACTTCATTTACGTGTGCCGTGTATTTTTTGTTTGTAACATTTTGGTGTTGCAATTGCAGTGGGACCAATTGGATTTCGTGTATCAATCCAAGAGGGATTTCTCAAATCTAGAAGTGAGTATTTGGATTCGGGCTGCTTAGGTTTTGTTTAGTTTGGTGCTCTCTTTGGTTGCATTAAGCGTAAGTGGCTTGCTAGACTTTATTTTGTTCTATCGCCATTTTGAAGGCGACTGATTTGCTTTGTATCTGTTTGCGTTTATTGTTTGGTCATTGATCTTATGTTGATCTTTCTGGTTGCAACTCAACTGGTCATGTTTAAAGGAGAAAGCAAAGTTGTCTGCATACCTGTCGTGGTAGCTGTAAGTTGTCCAACAAGGGTGTTTTCATGGATTGTGAATACGTGTTGACCAAATTGATTATTGCTTTTGAGCTTTTTCATGAAAATAGACTGTTTTATCTTGCAAGTATGTGATAATAATGTGTTCCTTCTAGTTGTCGCTTATGTGTATTCTTTAGTATAGGGTATAGACTTAGGAATCATATCCTTGATGACGATATAAAGGTGTTATTTTTGAATTGTAGCTTCTTTAATCTTGTGATTTTAAAGGTCTTATGATTATTTGGGTTAAATTACATTTTACATTTCTTCTTTCCCTGTCTAATTTCAAGTCTCGGTAGGATCTTCTGATTTAACAACCTTTTGGATTAGCAGTGGTGTTGAATTATTTTTTGAGTTTACTCCCCTCTGATTTATTTTCCCAAATGGTTCTATATTGTATGCCTCATTGCTGGGTAGGTTTAAGTCAACTAATACTTTATATGATCTGATTTTGTTGGCAGGAAAGCAGGACTGCCTATTGGTTACAAGGGTTGTCAATTTCATAGAGTTATTAAGGATTTTATGATTCAGGCTGGTGATTTTGTAAAGGTACTGTTCTGGTTTATCTTTGATTTATTTTTTTGGCATATACTATGCGAGAGCAGTGGTGAGTGTCAACATTTATGAAAATAAAATAAGCTGAGCCCACTTTTATGGTCCTTATGCATGGCTTGATCTTATTGGACACATATAGCATGATGGTTAACTTAGTTATGAAATTTGTGTTTCTTGCCCAATATTTTGTGGAAACTATTTTACTCACAGGGAAGTTATTATTTAGTAATGAAATCTTCGTGATGTTTATGTATATGCATTGATTTATCTATCTATGAATTAACTCTTAATGCAATTCTGCCTTCCATTTTAATTCACAAGATTTATATGACTTGTATGAATGTTGCTAGTGACAACAATAGAGTTGAATCCTGGTTTTATATGAAATCTTTACTAATAAATTCTTCCTTGGTAGGGTGATGGTAGTGGATGTGTTTCCATGTATGGACTCAAGTTGGATGATGAAAACTTCACCGCCAAACACACTGGCCCTGGCCTTCTGTTGATGTTATGTGTTTGCTTTTTATACCTTCTGTCATTTTGGGTTATATGAAAATAGGGACTGTTGATGGAATGGACGCACAAGGATAAATATGTACCTGTATGGTATTATTTATTGTGATAATTGTAATGTATCAATTCTGAATGCTACCTTTTTTTTTTGGTGGGGTGCATTGGGGATTTTCTGGATACATTTTAAGCACGCGTGAAAGTTCCTTTACTGGATGGTAGTATTTTTTATTGCATTTTTGTTATGCATATGGATATTTTATGCTATTTGCAGGGATTGTAATCTTTATTCGGTGGAGCTAAGCTAGTAGACTTCATTTTCTATCCAAAAACACGATCTAATGACCATGTGTAAATAATGTTTAGAACCTAATTTCAAATGTGGCTTCTGCTTGAATGGCTTAACCATATTCACATTTCAATTTTTCAGAACCAACCCAGTTCAGAGTGTCGAGAAAACATTTCAACTTACTAGAGCAGACAAAGGCTTGGTTTCAAAACCAGAATTTGATGTTGAGGTTTGTTTGGATTTTCAGTGGATGTAGATTAATGCATATCCTTTGATGTGTTGGTTTGCTTATTTATTGAAAAAATTATGTTTAGGCTTGGTGTATGCTTCTGAACGACAAGGTTCCATTCAGGATGCAGTGGGTGCCACTGTATGCAGACCTGCAGGTCAATGGTATGTTTTAAGTCATGTGTTCCTTGCTAATTTGGAAATAGGTTTCTTGTTGGCTGTCTAGTTTTAATTTCCATGGTATGTTATGCAACTAGGAGCATGTCATTTTAAAGTAAAACACCAAATATGTTTGCAATGATTGTCTTGTGACTGTCTTTGGAATTTGTTCTCATTGGTTTGATTATGCTTATATAGGTGTTCCCGTTCGTGCAACTAACAGACCTGGTTCCCAATTGCTTGGTGCTAATGGTCGGGATGACGGTCCAATTGTAAGTTTATTCCCATTTATCGACATAGTTATGACTTGTCAAACTATTTAAAATTGTTAGACATGTGTTCATTTACTATTTGAATTGGTTTTATTAAATTTCTTACTGTTCTTCTATTTTGTCAGATCACGCCATAACAAAAGACGGAATTAATAAGATTTCCTTAACAGGAAGTGATGCTCGCATTTTTTGTTTACAGGTTCGTATTGTTCGAAAGCGCAGTATGCAGCAGGTAGATTGCATTCAAAGCTTGATAAATTTACAAGCAAACTATTTTGAATTGCTGTTGGTTCCTTAATCCAAGCTTGTGGCATTGGAATAGTAAAGTTTGAAGTATCTCCCTGTTTGAAGTTTGGCCAATGTTCCTAATGTTGGTCTTTTTTGGTTGATTTATTAAAAATTAGAAATTTGAAATAATTTGTCATGCTTTTTTATTATCTTTCATGAAGATGTTTGTTCACCCATTATAAATTGGAAAGCACATGTATGGGCCTCATAAAGTGATGCTTTTATTCTAAAGTAAGTTAAAATATTCTCATTTTTTCTTAAGCATTATTTTTGCTTAAGTTGTCTGGCTTGTGAGACTTTTTTTTTAAATAAGGAATGTTGAATTTTTTCACATAATAATAACTAGATCTGGTTTGGATTGTGACCAAATTTGCTGGTTTTAATTGGTCGTGTCTGGTTCAACTCTCAATCCAGTTTTGGTTATTACAGATGAGAAGCCCGATTGTCAACTGTTGAACCAACCAACTAGTTTTGGTTATATGGTTCACACAATGCCATTCAATTTAGTTAAAGACCAAAACTTGTAAAGATTATTCACCATGAGATCTCTATTAACAACTTCTCCAAATTCCTTTTGGTCTCTCTCCCCCTTTTCACATGACTACAAACCATAAAATCTACCTCCTCGCTAGTGCATCTAGTGGCTCTTATTAGTGTCCTAACCACTTTAACCAATTTTGTCATTTTTTCCTCAATCAATGTCAAGCTAATATCATCTCATATACAATAATTTTACATCCTATCATTTCTTGTGTAGTCATACATGCATCATAACATTCTCATTTCACTACTTTTTCCATTGTATGACAGCCCATTTAATGTATTTTTATGTAATTATATTTGAACAAGAAATATATAAAATACGTAAATATTATTATAATTATAGGTAGAATTTACTAAAATAAATGATCTTAGAATTCGATAAGTAAAATTGTTATTTAAGAGTTACTTGAATTAAATAAAAATATAATATAGTGAATAATATATTTAGTGATAATTTTAAACAATAATTTGATAAATACCTAAAATATATAGATTATTATTTCTCAATTTATAATATGAACGTATTTTGCAAAATTTTCAATCTATTTTTTAAAATAATAAAAATGCATCGAGAATGAAGTGCATTAGTAAACGGTTTAAAACTGTCAGAAAATGTGAGAAAAGTAAAAAAAAAATGCAATTTTGTGGCAGTTTAAAACCACAGAAATGTTAAATTAGGAAAAAATTAGATGAATTTTGTAGTGGTTTTAAACCATCAGAAACGGTAAAACAAGTAACATTAAAATGCATTTTCTGGAGGTTTAAAACCACCACAAAGTGATTGAATTTTCTAGCGTCCAAAATCAACGTTTACAACATATGCGCCGCAAACTATTTTTGGCGATTGTGGATCTGACGGTTATTAATGACGCTGGTAGTACAATTTGTGGCGGTTTTTAACCGCTAGAAATTGCCAAAATAACCGCAACAAATCACACATTTTTTTTGTAGTGTCATGTCTTCATAGGATTTGTAGCTTATTCTCTTATCTTTCTTATGAAACAGGTTTGACCTTATTTGAATGAGTATAACTCTGTGTATCATTTTCTTTGATAGTTGCTGAAGGGAGATGTATGCTGTCATGATGTTTTGAGTTATTAGGAAATGCAAGGATAAAAACTAATTTGGTTATGATGTTCTGAGGCATTGTCATGTGGATTGAAAGGTTCTTTAAGGTTGTATGATGCTATGTGGTAAAGTTGGTTCATGTACATGCTATATGAAGTAAATGGTGATTGATTCGTACATGCTTAGGGATGGTATATATGAATGTTTAAAGTAGGTATTCTAATATGATTTGATATGCATGTATGTTGATATGAGGATAAATGACCTTATGGATCAATTAATGGGTGTTTGTGTGCTTAGCAAGATTGACCTTATGGTATCGTCATATTAGAATTGAGGGTGATGATATATTCAAAACAGTTTTATGTTAAGTTATCTAAGTATGACTTTTGATTGTATGAGGTGAGTTTCTAGGTCCTGTAATTTCTAGCAAAGGTTAAACGTAGATCTATCTAAGGTAGAAGTTGTACTTAAGTGGGAGATACCAAAGTCAGTTAGTGAGGTTAGGAGTTTCTTGGGATAGTTTATTATGATAGGAGATATATTGAGGAAATTTCTAAGATAGCATTACCTTTGATTGGATTGACCAGGAAGAGAGTTGTCTTTGTACGGGATAGTAAGTGTGAGAGTAGTTTCCAAACTCTTAAGGAAAGATTGACTAGTGATAATATTACCGGATTTTAGTAAGTCTTTTGTGGTACATAGTGATGCCTCTAAGATGGGTTTGTGTGGAGTGTTGATGCAAGAAGGAAAGGTCGTAGCTTATGTTTCTAGGCAATTGAAAATTCATGAGACGAATTACCTTACCCATGACCTTAAGTTAGCAGTTGTAATATTTATACTAGGATTTGGAGACACTACCTATATGATTCTAAGGTCGAGGTATCTAGTGATCATAAGAGCCTTAAATATTCGTTTGACCTGAAGGTGTAACATAGTAAGTTATTTCAGAAGGCCCAAAAGCTTAATATGGGTGATTTAGTAGCCCAAAACGGGCCGTTCCCAATCTGGAACGGGCCGTTCCCAATCTAGAACGGGCCGTTCCAAACTACTAAATTGACCTGTAAATCATAGTTGAGAACGGGCAGTTCTGGATGGAGTACGAGCCGTTCAGGATGGAGTACGGGTCGTTCTGGAGGGAGTACGGGCCGTTTTGGATGGAGAATGGTCCGTTCTGGATGAGTCCCAGAACGGGTGTTCTGGTTTCAGAGCGGGCCGTTCTGCATGTGATTTTTTTCACATGATGAAGGGGTGCAGAACGGGTCATTCCGGATTCGAAACGAGCCGTTTTGGCCACTCTTGAACATCTATAAATAGGGGCTGTGTGGTTGAGGAGAAAGTGAAGTTTTTAAAGAGAAGTTTTAGAGAGAAGGACTCTGAGTCTGTGAGCTCCTTTCTCTCCCAAATTTCTCTGTATGATTCTTTTTCTCCTCTAGATCACTAATGTCTTCCGTCGTTTCTTGAAATTCATACTAGGAAACTTGCTTTGGGAGGATTGAATTTCTCGGTTAAGTTTCAGAAGGGAATTCTACTTCTTCTCAGTTATTGGGTATTTTGAGCCAATTTTCAGGTGAGGGAAGTTAGAATGTTTGTCATTTAGTTGCATGTGAGTTTAGTGACTCAATTGATGCATGAAAGTCGAGAATCCATGACTGGATCGGAGAATTTGCTAATTTTTCGGGGTTTTGGGAAAAATACGGTTTTTGGTGAATTTGATGCATCGGATGGGTGCATGTAGATTTTGAGTTTGTTTTTGTGTTGTATGGAGCCTATGCATTGTGTTTATGTGTTTGCATGTTGCTGGATTTGTTGGTTTGGATGAGAGTTTTTGAACTCTCTGACTGAGATTAGGTCGGGCGCAGGTTGAGCGCGCCAGGCGTAGAAGAACTTAGAGTTCTTGGGTTGGTGTTAGGTCAGGCGCGAGCTGACTGCGCCGAGCATGAATATGTTTATAAATAATTGATTTAACTCGATGCTTATGCATGTTTAAAGTTGAAGTTTTAGATCATGTATGTATGATATATGATGTATGGTGAGGGGTGATTCATATGTATGCTTTGTGATGATACGTATGAATGTTTGAATATGATATGACCTGTGTATATGTTCATATAAGTATGATTATTGATCATGATGGTGGGTAGACCATGTATGATGTATGATGCATTATTGCATGTGATGCTTTATGGCATGAGTATGTTTATTGATCATGATGGTGGGTAGACCATGTATGATGTATGATGCAATATTGCATGTGATGCTTTATGGCATGAGTATGTATGATTGTTGATCATGATGGTGGGCAGACCATGTATGATGTGTGATGCATAATTGCATGTGATGCCTTATGGCATGAGTCTAGCCTAGGACTTGAGGAGAGGAAAAATATTTTCGAACAGGAAGAGCTCACATAGAGTCTCTTGAGAGTGGTGCTTGGATAGGCCACTGATATATGAGAGTGGTGCTCAGGTAGGCCACTGGATTTGGGAGAGTGGTGCTCAGATAGGCCACTGGGTTGGGTGAGTCTCCTCTAAGTCCTTAGCTAGTGTTGGAGCGGGGTATGAGGTCGAGGGTTATTCCCTTAACCAAGTACTCGGGAAGGTGCGTGGATCCTTGCGGATAGTCGGTGGGCGAACTCCACAATTGACTTGGTTAATGCATGCCAAGGTCGTGGTAAGCCCGTACCCAGCTGTGCTATACCTGACGGTGGATCTGGACTTCCAATTGTGTAAGTGACATCATCCGAGTAAACCCGAGTGAGGATTATATCCTGTTTAGCTGTGACCGAGCGGGCGCATTGGGCGTGAAAACGGTTGGGGTAGTTTCGGTAGGATGGGATGTCACTTATACAACTCTGTTGTTAGGGAGATCTCCTAGGTGTATGTGTGACGACGCATTTGATGATTGATATGCATTGATATCTGTCATGAGATGCATTTATTGCATGATTGTTAATATGATGAAGTGTGTGGTGTTTAGCTTCATGATTGGTGGATTGTATTTTATGCATGAGTAGTATTGGATAGAGTGTATGGTGTGACTCTATGAATATGATTGATAGATGGATGATTGTGTAGTATAGATTATTGTTCTATACTTGTATGGTTGATTTTTGAACTCTAGCTTACCCCTCTATTTTCATGTGGATGGACTGCGATGATCATACCTTGTATGGGAGCAAGTCAGGGTTAGCTTGGAGTTGGGGTGATCGCTGCGAGACGAGGAGTTTGATCCTCGTGTTAGAGTTACCATTTTGCGGAACGGTTTTGTCTGTGCTTGACTGACACTAGGGATCCGGAATATTATTTTTGGGATGACTGTACATATGTGGTGTTCTATTTTATAACCAGAAACTTAGTTATTTTCATTCTTATTTATACCTGTATGTATGAGTTATCCAGCTTAATATTTCTCTTAGTTCACTAGTAGTAGTGCGATTCTACTAAGTGTAGAGACCATGGCAGGTCGTTACACTTTTATGGTATCAGAGCGGTCGTGTCTTTTGGATACTCTGTGGGGAGTGATCCTTCTAGGTTTCTGTTATGTCATATCTCTGATATGTTAGTTTTGGTGAGTTGTAGTGGTAAATTGTTAGTAAAAGAATGTTTGAATTCTTTTAGTATGGTGAGGCCT